CAAATCAATTCTAGAGTTGCTTTACAGTTTAGTTACTCAATTGTAGAGGTTGTGTCGGTATGTAAGTACCCAATTTAAATTTCTTGTGTGTTTTATATTTTTAAGTTGAGTTAGGGAGAGTTTTTAGGTTGATCCATCTGAAAGGGATCAAAGGTCCACTGTCCAATAAAACTAACGGTATACGTAAAGTTCTGACCCTTTTTTTAACGGTGCTCGTGTGTTTTGGGTATTTTGGCGACTGTTACCCAGCCTAGAACTCGTTTCACTTCAACATGGTTTTCTAAAATATGCTTAGTAGTTCAATTCAGTACTCACATTGAGACAACAACTCTGGAACTAATTCCAGACACGATCAAATACACTAATTGTATATAGGAAGTTTAAAATGTTAATTCAAACGTTTTCGCACATTTTGTGCATCATCAGGATTAAAATTTTTTACAATTTTTACAAAACCATCAAAGATCTGAAAAATGAAAAACATGTCTAGTAATGCTTTCAAACATTTTGACCCATCAAGTTTAAACAACTGTAATCACATAATAACTTAAGAAATCAATAATAACACTTTTCTGTAAATATCTGATATTTCGTTTTAGTCGGTCTGTCTGGCCAGCATAGGTGGAGTTACATTCACTACATGTAAGCTTATACACCTCTTTGGATCTCAGTTCACGAGCAAAGGAAGTTATAAAAGATGGCAGGCATGTTTTCAATTTTCTTGTTGTAAGAACTATTTGCGCCCCGGATACTTGCCAAACTTTTGCAGCTAACAGTTGAGATGGATTGCCTCGATATTGCATTGTGAAAAGGGGGATGAGTCTTTTAACCATTTATCATTTCTCGGTTCTGATGCCTTCACCTCTAAACTTTTGTTTCCTTCAAGGATCTTGCTGAGAGTTCCAAACACTACCCTGTTCGACCACTTTTTCGGATATTGATTTTCAATCCCTTGTTGCCGATTTTTTTTCCAATGCCTGATCAAAATTGTCCCATGTTGAGGTTTTTCTGAAATCTCTATGAAACGTTCTTCATAACGTTTCTCTTGTACTGCAAAGATGCGCAACCTCTGAAAATTAGATTTGTGCCGGTATTAGTGGGTTTTTGGTACCAACCACATTTGAGCTTTTTTCCTGAGTCCTCGTTGACATTTAAATCCAAAAAAGCCAAATTACCGTTACTATCAAGTTCTTCTATGGTGAACTGCAAGAGAACTAACCTAGGATCGCCCTTGACAGTTCTAACTATGTAGTCCATATATCTTAGAAAAACTTTAACACCATTCTCAGCCCGATTTGCTTCCTGTTGTTTTTTGCAAGCAATGCAATACCATACTGTTTCAGCGATGTCTGCGTATTCAGACTCCAATATGTTACCACACCCTAATTGCTACCAAATCGAACCAGCTTCGCATTCTACCCCTTTAGTCCGATATGTCACGTTTTTCTGACATCCAGGGCAGACCTCCTTGTTACCCTCATTTAGCACAGTCAATTCTTTTTTTAATGCAGGTTCGTATTCTTTGAGCCACAAATTGGCCAGTATTACTGCAAGGGAGGCGCCCATTCCTAAACCGTTTTTTTTGTACATACCAAAAACCCTTGCATTTAAAGTGTACCATATTCACTGCCAAATTCAGTAGTTTTTTCATAGTCTTGCGAGATGTTTCCTGAGGGTTGAGATGCTCATTTAATCTCCTCAGGGCTATTTCAACCGCTTCCTTGAGCGGGAAATTAGTGTACAAACTCTTTACATCAAGGGGATCATACTCTCATCAGAGTCTAGTTCAGTTTTCTCCAAGATCTTCCTGGCCATTTGAGTGTTAGTTTTTATGTTTGCCCCCTCAATTTCATCAAAATACTTTGCCAATGTTTTATTTAGGTTGTCATATGAGCTACCCGGTAAAGAAAGGATGGGACGAAGGGGTGTGCCTGGTTCATGTACTTTTGCTAATCCATACAGCCTAGACGGCTGTGCTCCCGTTGATCTCAACCTAGTATACAGCGCTTCGCTAATCTCGTCCTTCTTTTTCTTGGCGAGTAATTCCTTGTTTATGTCTTTATCAATTTTCATGATCACGCTGTCTGTCAGATTCTTCCTCTCTAAATTATTATGCCTGTAATAAATTTTTCAGTTTCTTCACATATGTCTCTTTTTTTCATTAGACAAAAACCCACGCCTTTATCAAATGGCACTGCCAGAAGACCGTTGTCCTTTAAATGTTTTCTGGCTTTTTCAAAACCTTTGCCAGAGGAGGTCTGTTTCACATTCTTAGCATATCTCTTTGCAACTGCTTCAATCTCACATAATTTTTCTCCGGGTAATCTATTTAACTTCAATTCAGACAAAAAACTGACAATGTCGGCAAGGAAGGAAATTTCATTGAATTTGTCTCGTACCGGATGTTTTGGTCCAAAACGTCAGACTTCCCGCACCCAAAGCGGCAAAACCACTTCATCTAAAATTCTAACTGATTTTTCATCCAAGTTTTTAAACGGTCTCTCCTGTCTTTCCGAAAGTTTTTCAAGCTTCATCTTGTGTCTGCCTATCAGGTTATTGACACTACACCTTGCTTTCAGGTTCAGATAGAATTTTAGCGAAGGCCACCACTTCTCATCTATACCGCTTCTCACTACCCCACAAGCTTTTGCTAGGCTATCCGATGCCTTGGCCTTTTCCAGATTTGCCTGGCTTAACTCAGATCTCAGGAGTCTCAATTGAAAGCTGTGCACCGCTTGATCCAAAAAAATTCCGTTGTCAGGCACGCGAAACCGTTAAAAATCTGGTATAATGTCGTCATCAAGACATTTTTTCAGAAATTTATTTCTTAGGAAACTGGTATTAAATTTTTTTTAAATGTTTTAAATCATCTAACACAAGTTTCCAAGTGAGTTTTCTCTTCCTGTCCAACCTAATGAGTGGTTGTGGCAGCAAAGTTGCGGTCATCTCTTCTTTGCAGGCCACTTGCACTTAAACTCATGTTGCACTCAGCAAAAAAAAACAGACTCAATAGTATCTTACCACTTATTGGTAGTTGGGCTCCGTCTGAAGGTCCCCCGCCAACACCTCCGCTTTCCGCGCTTTTGCCCTGCCGCGTCCCTGCGATGGCTTCTTGGTCTTGGCCCGTTTTTTGAGAAAATGCCTGGTAGCTGGTATCGATAGGACAGCACAACCCGTAGTGACTTCAGTTCCAACTCACTTGACTGAAGCAGTTGGAGATACTCTCTGAGGAACGCAGGATTCTGTCCCTTGCTGCTAGAGATAAGGTTACCGGTTGTCTTTATGACGATTATCTCTGTCTTCCGCAGATCCTCAAAAATATCGGGAATGCCCGTTCTCCTGCAATAGACAATGGCACTTGTTTGTCTTCGCTTCGATTGTAGATTCACCAGTAGTTCAGCAAGTAGGCAGGGCGTATAAATGTTAGTGCGATGGGAGGATATGCTGTTGTTCAGCACATCGTACCAGAGGATAATCTGCTTACTGGCCAGAGGTTGCCGTTCCAATAATACCCGTAAATTCTTCCCCCTGTTCAGGGTATTGGGGTTCTAACTTGAAACTTAATTGAAACTGTTCAGGGTAACTTGTATCTGCTCAGGGTATTAACTTGAAACTTAATTGTAAGTCTAGAAGTTTCAAGTTAAGATCGGAAGTAAAACTCCTGTAGTTTTAACAAGTTTTTTATATTGTTTTTGGAAAACTGGGTCACTTCAGCGGGGATCTTCCTGGTCAAGGTTCCTATTGCTTCAAGCTTAGCACTCACGTATCCACTATCTGAGCTGGTGCGTGTCACGGAGCCGATTGCCCGGATAGCCGAAAAATAAATTCGTTCCCGGATAGCCGAAAAATAAATTCGTTCTCGGATAACCGAAATTTTGGATCTACTTAACAATTACCCCCTCCCTTCTACCCCTCTTACCCATTTCTTAATGGGGGGGTATTCGTTACTAGGTACCATAGGAAGGGAATACTGAAGAGATCCTACAAACTTACTTAAAAACTTTGTTTTCTTATTTCGAGTACCCTTTTCTCTTTAGGTCGACCGAATTGATTTTTCGAGCTCTCCCTAAGCACGATTTAGTCCCGGTTCTGCCAAATTTTCTGCGCCGCAGTCAAATTTTCAAAAACAGTCCAAAAAAAGCGTTTTTAGACACTTTTTGGAAAATTTTGATAAATATATTGGCGCCAAATATGTCAAATCCCTGATCGAAAGGGGGTCGAATCCCTGAAAAGCAAACGCCACCACACCCCCCCTAAATCCGACTCTGCTTTGGTTCTGTAGCGGATTTAGGGAGGGTCGGATCCCTTTTGAAAATCCACCCTCGAGAAATTCCTCTGCTTCGGTTGTTGAAGTGGTCGAATCCCTGCAGTAGTCGGACTTTTGCTGTTAATTAATTCAATGAGAGTAAAAGTATTAGCCAATCAAATCTCTTAAAAATGTTCGGATTTTTTTTAGTTTTAACAGGCTGCAAAATTTTTTGTCCAATCAAAATGCGCCTCAATTTAGTGAACAGTTTTCTGATTTAATTTAAATAAAACAGGAGGTATTTAGTTTTTTCGGCTATCCGGGAATGCGGCTCCGTGGGTACGCACCTCTGAGCTCTCTATCAGGAACAAGGCAACTCTACTCAAGGCTGATATAATCGGGCTAATTGAGAATAGCAATTTGGCTCTCGTCTGATGTTCTGTCAGTTTTCCCGCTATGTCAATTCGCCTGTTCTGATATCTGGCTCTTTGTTTCAGTTATCGCGGGAAACTTGAGCATGACGATAGCAATTCAAAATTTGAAAAATTGTATTCGAACCAAAAATGAATATAATTTCTTTCGTATGACCCACTGGATCATTTTTTTCTGCGTCAACGAAAGTTATTTCTATATTTCAAAATTTTACCTTGTTTTGCTTTGCTGTTTTCCTAATGTTCGAACATTGGCAGATAATATGACAGACTTGGGAACAAAGCATGTATATATTTTTGCCTCTGGGATTTTGTTGTTTCAGATCCGCAACACGATGAAAAAGTGTTCGCAGAAATTGTCAGGAAATGCAAGGAATTGCTGTCATCGAATGATGCGAAAAAACAGTCTGCTTCATCGATCAATGAGAAGACGCAGAGCATTTTGTCTGATTTCGTAACCTGTCAGAAATGTAGCGGTACTTTCAGGGATCCACGGTTGATGCCATGTAGTCACACTTTCTGTAAAGAGTGTTTGGCTAACTGGGAAAAGTCACAGAGTGGCGCCCTGACCTGTCCTAAATGTTGGGTCAAATGCGATATCCCTGTAGACAAATTACCAGTTGATACCAGAGCAACGCAGCTTATTGAGGGAGGATTCCAGGCAGGCTCTGCTAGCTCCAGCCAAGCTACTGCAACTATCGAAACCGAAACAGTCGCAGTGGACCAAGAGCTCGCCAAATGGTTTGAAGATAACTCGATTCCGACGGAAGCACAAAAGGTGCTTATCGGTGAAGCATTCGATTCATTAGAAGTTGTGTTGGAATTGACCAAAGACAGTCTCGACAAATTAACTGAGCTGAAAGAGGGACACAGACTCAAAATCTTGAAATCAATCGAAAAATCAAAGCCTAATTTTGACGCTATTTCAAAGTCGGAGGAAATGAAGCTTGTGGAAAGCATTTTCGATGAAAGAATTTTAGAGTCTGGAACTCATCCTAAAGACGCATCGAAATTCTGGGCGGCGTTTGATGAAAAGCAGCGCGATGATGTCACCAGTCAATTTAAAAAATTGGGAGAAAAACTTATAAATTGTGACATTGACTCGCATGTGAGAAGTCTAAAAGCTGATAAACTTCACAAGGTAGCGATGGTTCTTTGCGAAGCAGGAAAATACGAAGATGCAGAGAAATTAGCACTCCAATCCATGGAAACTCGAGAGAATAAAGAAGATCAGTCATACTTTCGGTCGAATGTGTTAATGCTGCTGGCGATGTTGAATAGAATCAGAATCGGTGTAATGTTTATCGACAAGAAAGACACGAGCGTAACGGATTTGTACAAGTGTCATTTGGAACAATGCGATAGTTTATTGAAGAGAGGCGACAAAGTTCTCAGTGACCAAATGAAAATAAAGGTCACTGGTATGAAAATGTTTTCAATCCGATCAGTCAAAGCGAGAGACCCGTAAGTTTTTCTTCTACTAGACTGCCTTGTTTTTAATGTTCTAGGATGTTTTGTAATTTAAGTTTTTAGAATTAACAGGAGTAGCCAGCTGTAGCCAGAGTTACCACTTTCATCCAAGAAAAGAAATTTGAAAGTAAAGACAAAATTAAAAAATATATATATTTTTTTAATATATTTTTTATTAAGTGTGACTTTAATTAGCTGAAAAATCAATAAATTACGAAGTGACAGTAGCTAAGTAGTGTTATAATTGCTTTTGAGTTGAATGGAGGTCAGGCTCTTATTAAATTTCGTTCAAACTAGTCCGAGACCTGAAAATTCAGACAAGTTTTTTCAGAAATGTAAGTTTCCGTATGAAACTGGCAACTTTTTATTGTAATTTTTTAAACAGGAGATTTTTAAGCAAAGCAACTTGTCAAACAGAATCAACTCATCATTCAATGTTGCCTGCTTAAACAATGATAGCAAGTACAACTTGCTTTTGCTCTTTGGTGTAGAGGTAAAGAAAGCGACTTTGGAGCATAAGTTCGGATTCGATCCACAGCGGGACAGTTTTTATGATCTGTAAGTTATTGAACTTGCTTTTTTATGGAACCTAAAAATCCTTGAAGCCCCTCTCACTTGATAAGAAGTGAAACACACGCCTTCACAACAGAATATCTAGTGTTCGAGTCCCAACTGGAATTTGTTTGTTTTTTCGTTGCGCGGAAATTTTTAATATTTTTTGAAAACTGTAATTGTCGGACTATCGTTTGTCTGCTTATTTTTTGTCGGCTTACTGTCCCAAAGCGTGAGTTTTTTGTTCGAAGCATCAATATGTATTTTATTTAAGCAGCTGCAAGTACAATTGAAAGTCGTTCTGTAGTTGGTAACTTAACGCATTTCGATTTTGTATAATTAAATGCTCTTTTTGTGAGATTTTTTTTCTCATTTAAATGGGTCGGCTTTTGCTGTATCGACTCGTCTACCTCATTTTGTGTCGGTTAAAATACATATAGATGTTCTGTTTTTGCGTATTTCAGAGAATTGAACGTAAAACTTCGAATACGTGGAATCGAACGTAAACTTCGAAAATACTTATATAACGGCGGTGATTGTGTTATTGATATGTTTTCCTCAAAAATTGAAGATCGTTCGAGTAAGTTTACGGAGTTTTTTCAGCAATTGTTTCCGTCTCATTTTCTGTCTGCTCATTTACCAGGGCATGTTTGTGTTAGTCCCTTCCCAATCTTCGAGAGTGGTGGGAACAAAAAAATGAAGCTTGAGCATAATAATACGCAGTGTTGTTTTCATGCAAAAAATTTTCATGCAAAAACATTTTTGGGGGTTGTTTTTAAGCGCTGGGCATTTGAAAGCCAATTATCTATCGTGATTTTTGGATCACGACAAATTACTATACTATGGTAGCAAAATGTTTGGCTTTTAAGTCAATGTTTTTGTTTATATACGCACAAGAAAACAATTAGATCACATCTTGGATTTTTTTGTCATACTTGAACATGACTGGATTTTTCATTAAGTTATATAAATATAATTTTTTGTTCAGAAGCTTCAAATATGACGTGAAAACGTTGCTGAAAGTGACCACGAAACTTTGCAAGAATGTTGACGACAAAGGACTGTACGCAGAATTTCTGATGAACGAAGCTCTTCTCGACAACATGAACGAAAAACCGAGCATCGATAATCGAATCAAGAAATTGATCGAAGCGAGAAAAGTCTGCAACGAGGATCGAGATCTCGGAGAATTCACAACATTGATGTCGCGAATTTCTTACAATTTGGGAGGCGCGTTTGAAGAAATCTACAAAGATGAACTATCTTATGAGTGCTTCAGACGATCTTGGTTAATCGATTTACAGCTAAATGGAACCCATCATCCGGAAACTATAAAATCAGGACAGGTGCTGCTGGAAACGGAGCATTTGAAGAAGATTGGACTGGAGAAAAAAGACAATTTACCTGATGATCCAAGGATGAATAATGATGATTTGGAATTTGCAAAGAGGCTGGAACCTGTGTACGCATACAAAAAATAGTTCGAAGAAATAATACAAAAATTAAAGCGAGTATACAATTAACAAACTGAATTATGTCAAAGTTGATTACTAATTAATTCCTCAAACTCGAATATCCCGAGGAAAAAAGACTATTGGAAAATCTTAACGCAACTTTTTCTGTACAAAAAAAAACTTGCTTCTATTGTCATTAAAAATTGTAGATAAAATTTACAAAGGTGTATTTTATTTGTTTTTCTAGATGTAGTTTCAAAACACCGTTATACATTGAATTTTCTATTGTTACGTATCATCTATTGTTGCGTATCATCTATTGTTACGTATCATCTATTGTTACGTATCATCTATTGTTACGTATCATCTATTGTTACGTATCATCTATTGTTACGTATCATCTATTGTTACGTATCATCTATTGTTACGTATCATCTATTGTTACGTATCATCTATTGTTACGTATCAGTATTTAGACAGCCACATATTCATACTCGTCAGTAAGCAGACATACTACAATCAAAATCGAGACAAGGAAAAAATTAATAATTATTTATTTCATAAGTTTGCTTTATCATCTCGATTCTGATTAGGCAGTATAGTAATTTGTTTGCTTACGCGGTTATCTAAATAAAAAACACAGTCCTGTTTTAGGTAGAATAAAGTAATTCTGTAGAATTTAGATGTTTCCTGACAATTTGGGTGTCTCAAAATTTTCTAAGCACCGTTAGACATTCTAAATAACAAATAGCAGACAGTATTGAAATCAAGTGTTGAGATAATTTCAATACTGTTTGTTATCGGTGTGTTTTTGCCTATAATCATTGATGTGAATTTTTTGTCCCAAATTGTGAGTTTTTTGCCGAAGAATTGTAAAACGATCATCTTATTACATAAATCATTAACGTCTTTGGTGTCACCATAGCATTTTTTGTTTTACCAAATAATTAATTTTGTCAAGATAGTTTCAAAATTAAGAAACTATTTTCAAGAGTAATTCTTCTGATAATCGGGAGCGAGACATTTCTAGCGGACATTATTTCTTGCTGTCAATCCTTGCGATTAATGGATATCGAGAGCGACGGTATTCGCATCTTCCTCAAAAATTAGACGCCTGAGCAGCCTCATGGTCCCCCTTTTTATTCTGTTTTGCGGCATCCATTCATGATCAAACGACTCTATAAATTTTCTAAATACGCCTTCGGCAACAAAATGTACATTACAGGGGAGGGGCGGGAGTCCAAATAGCTTGCCTAAAACTAAAATTCACTTTCTGTTCACGCGAAAAAACGGGAGCTGCCCTGGGTATCATGGATTTTAATGCAACTTGGGTTTAAAAGAAACATTTAAAAAAAAAATTTTTGGACATTTTTTACGAAAACTATCCAATCCGTTCCTTTTCTTCGCAAATGGTTCCTTTATTTAAATCAATTTTCGCAATGTGTTTGTTCGAGAAAAGTATTTGCTCGTATAATAAAAATTTACAAAAATTGCTGCATTTTTTGGGAGCTTTGGCATATATAACTATATTGCAAGTGGTCCAAAAGTATTTCTTTTTGTAGTTAATACCAAATTTTTGACATTAACAATGACCTTCAGTTGATTGCATAGTAATCAATTTTTTTAAATCATCAATTGATTTGTTGACCTTTGTTAACGTGTAGAACACGTAAAAATGATTTCCTACGTCACAAGTAACTTTATTTGTGCCATAAAATTTTGCTCATTTTTTGACAATCGAGATTTTGTTTCAAAGCTTAAAACATAGTTCCGGTGCCTAAACTTTCCAAGTGCATAATTTTTAGTTTGATTTCGAACATTATTCTGGTTTCGTATTCAGCTGGTTGCTTAGCAGCTGTTTAATATAGTGTACTTTTTCGCGGTTTGACTTTTGATTTCTTTCTCAAATTGGTTCGTTGCTAAAAAAAGCTTAGTCCACTATCGAGCAGCGAAAAGGCAAAGGTCACAAAAACTTGATTGACTTCAGGTTCCGAAAATGGAATTTAATTTTAAGATATCCCAGCGAAATAAAAATTTTACTAATTGATCCAGTATTCTCAATTTGGGGTAGTTTTATCAAAAAAGCGTCAATCATAAAAATTCAAAGAGCATTGAGACCATTTTCTTTTTTTCTTCAAAATTCGCAAGTGAGTATTTTTTTTCTCTTAACTTGTCGTGTTCATTGACTCTTTTCTGACTGTCTGTTGGCACTGTTTAAATCAATTCAAATTCATTTGATAAATATCTGGAAAATTACGATCACGTTACAAAAGCATAAATGGCGGGTGAAAAAACAATGAATGGCTGTTTCGAACAAGGATGTTGATTTTGAGCATCAACATGGCGATTGAAAACATTGATCGAGTTTTCTCGAATTGGGTTGGAAGCGAGCTAGCGACCGTGTTCTTATAGTAAAACTCTACTTTTTCTGAGCAAATTCGCGAATAGAAAATCTCATTTGTGGCACCTATGCTATACTCACGATCTGAAACGTTGGAAATTTCTTTGCATCTTTTTCTGCTTGATTGCTGTCTAGTGTTTGCCAATCGTGAAGAGATAAGAGGATAGACTTGAACCCTAATCTATCGCACTTAGCTAAAATTATATTAATATGTAGTGGCATTTTATTGAGTAGCATCGGCATTTTATTAGCATCTATAGCTCTTTTCCAACGGCCCGTGGCGCTGATGCGAGGGAATGAGACTCCTAACTATTGAATGTGGCACATAGCAAAAGGTTAGGTTTTCAAAGCTCAGTTTTTTTTCTACTTTTTCGTACTTCACCTTTGCGAGCTGCTCTTTGTCTTTTTCTTGCTTGTGTTGGCGAAGTAAAGCTTAGCTTCTGTTTTTCAAAAAATAACAATTATTCTTCAAAAGGGTTGAACTTTCACGTGTATTTTGAAAAATGGCCATTTTTTCGGTTTCTTTGAGTTTATTGACACGTTTCCAGCTCGCTGTTTGGTTTGTCTTGATAGAATCAATTTATATGTGTTTTACTGCATGCAAAACTCAAATATTATACCCTCATGTGTGATGCCCAAAGCGTCAGCGCAACTTTGGACGGCACAATACTTCAAATCGCTCAAAATTTTATTCTGAATTGATTTGAAGCCACCTAGTCGGTCCCAGTGTGATCTCAAATGAGCTCAATTTATATTTGTCAGGTTTTTTTCTTTTTTTCAATAAATTTCTCTGTATTTTTAATACACTTCTTAAACCTACTTTTTTTTGCATAGTTGAGAAATTTTTATCATTTAGATACATTGTTTTCGCAAGCACGCCCTCAGTTTTTTTTTGCAAGAAACTAAAATTAATTGAGTTCTGAGTTTAAGTTTGAAAAGCTTTGAACTCGACTTTTTCGCAGTTTGAGCTTTTAAATCAATCAATTTAAATAGGTACATGCCAAACTACATAAACAAAGTTGCTTCTAATTTAAATGTAGAAATTGCAGATAGTTTTTTTCAAAAACTTGGTAAATGTTGGCAACCATTTGTGTTGACCATTTTCTCAAGGTGAGATCGAACTTAGCAATAGACTGGAAAAAAAACTCGACGTGTGTTTATACTGGTGCGCGAATTCGTTAAGCTTAATTGTTTGTGTCGAAAGTTCCGCATTTTCAGCATATTGTTAATTCAAAAAGCTAGCGTTTCAACCTCATATAAATTGGGTATATTGAACGTTACGAAATAAATTTTTAGACCTTCATTTATAGTGTTTGCGTCCATCAAAAATTTCGTGGCTGAACTTTTACACAATGAATTGTAGAGTGTCGACACATCACTGCGTCTCATTCAATAACTCAATGTGCTCCGACAAAGTCTCGGCGTCAATTGAAAAAACAAGGCTGTAGTCCTGTTTTCGTGATATAAGATTGCAAAAGTAGCCGTAAATTGGCTACCCCTTCACAATGATCGTCTTTGTGAACTCTGTTTTTTGTGCACTTTGTAAATATATCATAATAAATTGTTTTCAAGGACGATTAGTGACACTGAGAATTTAGTGTAATTTAACATTTAGCGCTGAAGGCCTTGCCGTCTGTTAGAAAGCGCTGTATGAAAACTTTCCTTAAAATTATCCTATCAGCAGTTTTTCATTGAATTTAACTAAGCTTTTTAAATTAACAAAAGGAAAAATTGTCAAAGATTTGAAAATGAAAAATTCCAAGAGAAGTATCGGTCAAAAGTATACAAAACAATTGAACGTTTTTTGGGCCTTTTAATAGCCAGGTTAATCTCGTAAAAATTTCAGAGTCTTTTAAATGATTATCTTATTCATTAAGAATACAATCATCACTTTCGATTTTTTAATGATGATTAAAAATTTTAATGTCGACAGAGCAAGTTTTGCGAACGTTTTGTCGGGTATTTTGACTCTAATTGATATGTTTAATGTGTTGCAGTTAAGCGTAGTTTACTTTTTCTAAACTTTTTTTTTGTAATTTTTCGCTTTTCACCTTTGCGAGCTGCTCTTTGTCTTTTTCTCGCTTGTGTTGGCGAAGTAAAGCTTAGCTTCTGTTTTTCAAAAAATAACAATTATCCTTCAAAATGGTAGAACTTTCACGTTTATTTTAAAATTTAAAATGGCCACTTTTTTCAATTTCTTTGAGTTTATTGAAACGTTTCCAGCTTGCTGTTTGGTTTGTCTTGATAGAATCAATTTATATGTGTTTTACTGCATGCAAAACTCAAATATTATACCCTCATGTGTGATGCCCAAAGCGTCAGCGCAACTTTCAAAAGCTAGCGTTTCGACCTCATGTAATTTGGGTATATTGAACGTTAACGAAATAAATTTTTAGACCTTCATTTATAGTGTTTGCTTCTATCAAAAATTTTGTGGCTGAACTCTTACACAATCAATTGTAGAGTTTCGATTGTGTTGCACTTAAGCGTAGTTTACTTGGTAAACTTTTTGTTGTTTTCCACCCTTTCTGTTTTCAAGAGATTTTGTTTCGGTTTTGAAGAAACTTTAATAGTTTTCGACCATACAATTAAAAAAAGAGCATTTTTTTCTAGCTGATTCAACCTCTGCACAGTTTCTCGATTTATGGACTATGCGCAAAACAGAAATTTGTTGTCTTGGCAACTCGAAGAGAACAGTTTTGTTAGCAATTCTGTAAATAAGGGTCCTTCATCAATAACGCGGTCGAGCAAAATTTCTTAATGCTGCTTCAACATTTTTTGGCTTATAAATTAATTGTGGGTTACAAAATAGAGATTATTTTTGTTCGGTAAAGCCTTGCAATGTTG